ATTTTTCATTTAACTTTGTTTTTCATTTTTTGCAGGAAAAAAATTCCTATAATTGAAAATCTGATTATAAGAACTTGAGACAGGCTGGGCGATGGTGTCTGTGAGTTCGAGGCCAGCCTGGTCTACAGAGCGAGATCCAGGACAGGCACCAAAACTACACAGAGAAACCCTGTCTCGAAAACAAAACAAACAAATAAAAAAGAACTTGAGACAGATGTTGTGCCAATAGATGGCACATAGATGAAATGCTCATTGTCCTTAAGGCCAGCTCATGTCACACCCGAAGTATACTTGCAGTGTGGGATCAAGGTGTGATTCCTACGAGAGGGAAATGCTTTGGAGCAGTGGTTCTCAACCTGTGGGTGATGCCCCCTTTGGCAAACTTCTATCTCCAGAAATATTTACATTACAATTCATAAAGAGTAGCAAAATTACGGTTATGAAATAGCAATGAAAATAATGTTAAGGTTGGGGGTCACCACAACCTGAGGAACTGTAGTAAAAGCCTGCAGCATCTGGAAGGTTGAGAACCAGTGCTTTAGAGTTTTGTTTTTTAAACAAGGTAGAAGAAGTCTTAAATTGCCACCCCCTATTTCCCAGGGGCCCCTTTACCATAGAAGAAATAACAAATTCATGTCCACAGGTGATTAGGGCTAAACAAACAAACAAAACTTAGACATCATATCGACAGGAACAAAGCCAGTTTTGTTTTCAGTTTTTGCTGACGAGACCATGGGCCCAGAAAGATGTACACATCACAGGTGTCAGCTGAGTGAGGACTCACAAACTGAATGCACCTCTTGTCCAGGGCCTTGCCTCGGCCTGACCAGCCCCCTCATTCTGCCTCATTCACTGCTCATGTGCTACAGCCACCGCCATCCTGATCCTTAGCTCATAGATTCATTTTGCCTGCTTCTCTATGTCAGCGAAGCAGAATCGCACAGTCCGGCACTGCTGTGCCCCAGGCAGCATTCTGTCTGTGAGAGCGTCCAGATTGTGACATGTAGTTATAGATAGGCCATTATCTGTTTGGGCTGGTATTCCATTGTGCAAGTATACCACAGTTTATTTGTCCATTGTGCAGCTGATAGACAGTTGGGTAGCTTCCAAAGTGGGCTGTTACAAAGAACCAGCTGCATGCATTTTTTACATTGGTTACAGTGTGCTGGGGCCAGGCTTTCTAATTTGCGTGAATGCGTCATAGAGCTGTCTAAAACCACACATGCTCTTCAGGGTTCTGATACCTTTGTCCTCTTGCCCATCTGCTGACAGATGCAGACCTTACTAAAGGCCACAGCTGCAAAAAACTATCTCTTGTTTCCATGAAGAAAAAAAAAAGTTGTGAGGTTTTTGTTGTTGTTTTGAAGATTAGCAATTTAAAACAGAAGTAAGTATTGTGTGCTTTATCTGGGTATTTGAACAGCTGGCTTTAAGAATCTGGATGAGAGATAACCACATAAGTAATCTTATTGAAGCAGGATATAGCCTGACAATCCTTGAACAAGGACAGGACACATGTCCAGGAAGCAGAAGATGATGGAGCAGAGAGGTGAGATCTTACGAAATGAACTTGACCTGGAGGGCACCAGTCTCTCATTGGAGCAGAACTTCCGTGGTCTGTGAGATGAAAATAAGGGGAAAGCCAGGGACCCTCATAGGCAGAAATCTCTAGATCATTGTTTCCCTCTCGAAGTGTGGTCTGCAGCTCTTCCCTGAGCCACGCTGGGCCACAGCTCAAGTGTTCCAGAATTTCATTCTTCCCATCTGTGATGCTTTGGTTACTGCAGCCTTGTGGGACCACCAGAGTCCATGGGACTGGGAGGGGACAGGCTCCATTTCCCCTCAGCCCCCAACTAATGCTGTTCACACAGAACAATGCAATACAAGGAAAAGTCCAGTGATCAGGCTACAACAGTAGTTTCTCAATCCGTGGGTTGTGACCCCTTTGGGGTCAAGTGACCTTTTCACAGGAGTCGTCTAAGACCATGGAAAACACAGAGATTTACATGATGATTTGATGTAGAATATTACTTTAAAGTGTGTTACTCTTGGTCCTGTTGCATTTGTTTAACTCTGTGAAGCTGTGTTACTGTGCCTGTCTAAAACACCCGATGGGCTAATAAAGAACTGAATGGCCAATAGCAAGGCAGGACAAAGGATAGGCAGGGATGGCCAGCAGAGAGAATGTATAGAGGGATAAATCTGGGAGGAAGAATAAAGGAGAAGGAACCAGAGAAGAAAGAGGACCCCAGGAGCCAGCCACCCAGCTACACAGTGAGCCACAGAGTAAGAATAAGATGTGCAGAAGTAAGAGAACGGGAAAAGCCCAGTGGCAAAAGGTAGATGAGACAATTTCAAGTTAAGGAAAGCTGGCTAGAAACTAAGCCAAGCTAAGGCCGGGCATTCATTAGTAATAAGCCTCCACGTGTGATTAATTTGGGAGCTGGGTGAGGGCCCCCCAAAAGAGTAAAAATACCCACAACAATGTTTCATAACCATAGCAAAATTACAGTTATGAAGTAGCAACAAAAATAATGTTATGGTTGGGGGTCACCGCGGCATGAGGAACTGTATTAAAGGGTCACAGCATTAGGAAGGTTGGGAACCACTGGGCTAGAACATGGTGAGTAGGAGAAAAGTGTGGGGATAGGGGAGGTAGGCAACTTTCTTTTGGAAAATCAAAAAGTAAGGGGAGGGGCTGGGGCTTCATGGGAAGTCCTGAGTGGTTACAGTTTAAATGAAGAAAAGATAACAGCATTTTTAAATGTAAGTAAAGCAAGTATTCCTCTGTTTAAAAATCATCATCACTGCGGTAAGTCCATAACAGGGAGAGACTTCTAGTTCCAGACACCTCATCATCCCAGTCTCTTGGCCAAAGCCCTGTAGGCTTTGGATGAGGCTGAGCACCATGGTGGAGAAGGCAGAGAGGAGCACAGATGCTCCTCTTCTGCCTGCTAGGAAGCAGAGAGCAGATGGAGACCAGGACAAGGAGAGACACCAAGGAGGAGCTGCCTCCTCCCACTGTGCCCCACCCCTTACCTCCCATCACCTCCCAGTACTGCTCTTCTACGACGCAGCCATCAGTGGACTCTTTCATCACTTAGGTCGAAGCCCTCATGACCCAATCATCTTTCACCAACTGGATCCAACCGCTGGAGACCAAAGCCTTCAACACATGAATCACTTGACACCCAAGCCATAACCTCCCCACCCCCTGCATTTGGAATAAAATTGAACTCTTCCCCATGGCCTTCAAAGCCCTACGGAAGCCAGACTCTGAGCCCTTTGCCTTACTGACCTGTTTGCCTCCAGCCTGTGACTGTCCCCAGTCAATCCTTTAGGTTTGTTCCAATTTCAGGACATGTACACTCCAGGAAGACCTGAATTCATCCTCCCCTAAATGTTACCTAGGCAGAGAGCCTCTCTGCCAGCCCCTTGGTCATTATTACAGAATGCTTGGTGTATTTTGCTTTGTAGTACTTACCTGTAACTTAGTAGTTCTCCCCCAACCACGTTGTGTACACACCATTGAGTCTAAAGGCAACATCCAGGTGAGAGAAGTAGCCTAGAGCCCCTCGGAACAAGGGAGAATGGTAAGCAGGCTCGTCTGAGACGGTCTGAATAGAAAAGCTGATAGGTTTGTGTAAGAACTGGGTAGGGTCGTGGCCAGGGGAGGTACTTCCCAGGCCTACATGGATGGTTGTGCTACTCCCTGACCCTGGTTGCCCCAGGTGAGGGGACAAGAACAGAAGGGTTTTTCACCCACTGGGAGCTTCTGGGGCATGCCACAAGCCTATCAAGCCTCCGGTGGCTGACTGGAGGCATTTGTGGCAGGTGTCATGTTATATCAGCCACAGGCCCAGCAGGTATGAATGAAGAAGAGAGATGTGAGCCTTGGGGCCACAGGTGAGGGACTCCCTGAGGGCAGAGTTGATCAGGGTGAATGTGACATGAGTTCAACACAGAACCAGGAAGGTAGAGAGAGCAAGGCAGGACTTGCTCTCATGGGATCACTGGTCCAAAATGCAAGGTTGTGTCAGAGGATATGGGTATGGGGACTTGGCTCCTAAGATGGACTGCTTAAGAATTCCCACCAGCCAATCTCTCTAGTGCCTGATCCACAGATGTGTGCTGGGTGGACTACAAAAATATTCTTGGCTCTCCACATGACATCTTCCATGAACTTTACAACTCTGAACTCAATTGAGCCCCGTAAGAACCTTTATTCATTACACCCTCTCATTTGTCAAAGAGAGAAACCAAAGCATGGGGAGAATGAATAGTTTGTCCTCATCCAAGGGCCGGCAGGGAGCATGGGGATTTGAACCTAGGCAGTGTGGGTTCCAGAGTCCACAGTTCTTCCACCACACTGTCTTGACACCCCAACCCCTTTCCTGGCTCTTAAGGAAATAATTTCTAGATCTCTTTATTTATTTATTGGAGAAGGGTGGGGAATATGCGTCATGACACACGTGTGGAGGGGGTCAGAAGACGCCTTGAAGGAGTCGGTTCTCGCCTCCCACTGTGTGGGTCTGGAGGATGAACTTCAGGTCATCAGGACTGGTGGCCAAGGCTTTTATTCACTGAGCCGTCTTGTCCGCCCCTGTCCCTTCTCTGACGGCAAACCATTTGCAGTCTCCAAACTCCAGGGGTTAGAATGGTAGCTGTGGGTGTAAACACACAGAATGAGTCACACTCCTCTTCCCATCCATTTAGTTAAGGTGATAGAGCAGCAATCTTGCTTCATTTTGGCCTCCTCCATTTCTCCCATGAATTGCTTTATCACAGGCCAGGGAAGGTTTCCATGCTCCAGGATTCTTCTTTTCAGTTTCTGGAGTCAGGATGCCCACACAGAGGGTACTGAATCATCCAGAGTTGCCCTTGCTCCCAGTGGAGACAGGGACTCTGAAGTCAGAGCCCACTGGAGCCATTTGAGGAAAGACGGTCTACATAGCCAGCTGCCATTCACACACATCTGTACAGAAACATAGCCAGCTGCCATTCACACACATCTGTACAGAACATGCCATCCATACACGTCAGTATAGGA